TATATATATATATATATATATATCCCGAAGATCTCGTCATCAGTTCACACGATTATATCTGCAAAAAGGTGTGCTATCTAATGTTGTATTAATATAGCTAAAGGAAAATATATCAAAACAATAGTGCGAGGAGCACCCAGAAAAACTTGAAATGATATAGAAAACATTAAGTAAATAATATACGAAATAAAACGTATCAGGCAAAAAACAAAAAAATGAAATGTAAGAAAAATACAAAACAAAACATAATCTATAAAGCGAGCAGCGAATTCAAACGAACTTACTCGTTCTGAAATCTTTCACGAATGGTTTGAAATATTTTCGTAGAAAGCTTGCCAGACTATAAAATATGAAAACAAATGTGCAAATAGAGGTTAGAAGTGTAAATAGAGGGATCCATTATGGCGTGTTCTTACTGCAATACTGAAACATGTATAATTAGTTAGTTACCTTGGATTAGCCCGAAAATGGATGTGTTTAAGATTGTTATGCCGGATAATTGAAAGTTCATATTTAGTAATGTTGATATTTAATTATACAATTTTAATAATTTTTAAAATGTACATTTATTAAAAAAATAAAAACGAGGCATGATTTTTAAGGTTAGCACTGATCTTTAGTCACGAATTGCCCAAATTGGATTCGCACATGGAAAGAAAATATAAATTTAGTTAACGAAGAAGTTTTTAGTCAATTTATTAATAATAATGACATACTGTTAATTCAATGATTTTATATAGAACTTAATTACACTATTTGGGTATCCAATGTTTTTTTTAATCAAATTTTGGAAGACTTTGTCCATTTCTTTTTATAAATAAATATTACAACATATTCTTTTAATTCTATTCATTTGATTGAAAATGATACTTAAATAAATATTTTTAGAAAGATTAGAATTCCAAGTAATTAGTTTATTTATATTAAAGTTAAAATTATTTTTTTTATCGTATAAATCAACAATGCAGACATTTTCTTCCTTTTTAATACCTTAATCCAACAAATTTAAATTTATATTATCATCATGATTACGTAACAAAATTAATTCTACTACGTAAGTATTATTTAACAAAATTGTATAAACTTGAAAAATAAAGAAGATTAAATCATCAATAAATCTAAAAGCAAATTTTATATTAAAAGTATATATTTCTTTTAAAGTGTAAAAATAAGTTATCTAAGTGAGAAGAAAAATTAGATCCTTGTTGTATTCCATCAATTTGAATAAAAAATATGTTCTCTATTGCAAAGAAAATTATTAAAAAGACAAATATCAATTAGAATTTCCCAATAATCAAAATCGCAATTAAGGATGTTTTTTAAATCACAGTAACAACTCAAGCGAGCATCTTTAATTTAGAAAGAGAAATGTTATTGAAGATATCCTGGAAATTAAATGTTGGAGTAGAATTAATTTTACTTCGTTTAATAAATTCTATAATTGGTTGATTATTAGTGATAATCCAAGAAAAACCTTCTTTAATAATATTGACTGATAATTATGCAAGGTTAATGAGCAAAGGTTAATGATAATTATGAAAGGTTAATATGCAATCATTTTTCATATCTCTACACCTTACTCAGCAACAAACTAACTAATCACTCTCCTCTTCTCGATGCTTACGTAGCATTTGAACACAGGAATATCTAGTTCTAAAACAAAGGTTTTTAAATTTTACTTCAAACTTATTGATTCAAATAAAATATAAAATAATAGATATTAAAATATTAATTTACTTACCACATTTCGATTTAGGTCAGGATCGTATGATGAGTTTGCACCAAGTTCGTCATTTTTTGGAATGTCGTTGCTGAATATTACTTGCAATAACATAAATACCGTCACCAGAAAGCATAATAACCGCATTTCAGTTTCTTATTAAAAAAAGTAGTTTTTTAGCGACAGCTTTTGACCTTTTCTGGCAAATCACAAATTGCCCTATTACATCTCTTCTTTTGCGCAGATTTTTTTAAAGAAGGAAAATATAATTCTATATTCTCCTTAAAATGAATTCCTCCATCAAGCTAAAGGTATAAAAAACAACCAGGGATTAAGAATGTTTAAGAATAAGTTTTCCCAGCTGTCATAATACTGTCAACCACGATTGAAGTAAAACCATTGGTTACAGCCAACTTTACCCAATAAGACTAATTCTTCGATTAAAAGAGGAGTGGATTTTTTCAATCTTGTATTCTAAAATGTTACTTTTTAAGGGCATCTAATGCATGGTATAATGTTTCGATTAAATAAATTCACTTTTATAATCAATCAACAATTAAAATTAAAGCTGTCAGTGTTAGTATAAAAAAAATATATACAGGGTTATTCATAATTCCCTCCGGGGTTTCGAAGCGTTATAGTAAAACAACGAAGACGAATATGGCAGAAAAGAACATATGCAATTATTGCAATAATATCAAGTTTTAATTTAAGCAGTTGCCGTTAGATGGCAGTAACATGTACCACTAAAGCCAGTTGTAGTAAAGAAAAAGGACGTTTACAGGCGGAGGGAATTATGAATAACCCTGTATGTCATTCAAAGTTATATGTCAATAAATCAATGCTAATGACACGCATAATATAAGTACTATAATATTACTTTATTTCTTCCTGAAAAACCTGTAATCGAATACTGTTTTAATACCCGTTTAATTCTTCAATTCATCAAAATTCGTTTTTCTTTTGTACTACGACTTTCAAGATTTGCGTATTCCGTTCAAAAGCTTTAAAGCTTTTTGTATTTTTTTTATTTTCGGATCTTGAGAAAATCTAAGTGGATTAGCTCTTTTAGTTTGGGTTTTTTTTTCAATTTATTGCTTCCAATGCTTCTATTTTTTTCTCGATGAACTCTAATCATTCATCATTCCGTTTAGCGCTTACCATGCAATCAACACAGAGTTAATCACGGAAGTAAGCAATGCTTACTTAAGAGAAAGAGGCACTACACACTATATAAATAAATAAATAATTAACAAGGTTGATATCTCATTACAGAATTTTAAGGATTTTATGAAATTAACAATTATTTAAAAAAGAAACATGATTTTCTCGCTTTACAAAGATTTCTACAAGGCACTAAATTATTATTGCTGTTCAAATCCATATAAATAGGCTAAAAAGCAACGCCCTAAACACACGAAATTTAAAAAAAAAGAATTAAAACGGAAACATAATGAAAACGAAAATAAGCTAATGGTAAAAAACTGTTGATCACTGATGATATGTGATCATTAAAACATTATGATATTAATATCGATGAGCTTTGTCATTCCAAAAATTTATTAACTGTTCCTCAGATGAACCCCTCAAATGCTGAAATTAATAATATTGCGTAAAAAAGCACTAAAATGAGTAATATCATAAGTGAAAATTTAACCCTTCAAATGTATGGCTACGAAGAATTTCTCTACAAAAACATTTTCAAAAACATTTTCTGTTGTGCTAGTCTTACTATGCCTAAAGCAAAACCATTTAAAGGACTAAACTCGCAATTTCATTATTCCATGTTTCATTTACATAATATTCTTAATTGCTGCATTTGAAGGGATCAACTAAGGAACAGTTTATTAATTTATTTTTTATAATTTCCTACTAAGAGTGAGAATTTTGATATTAATTTCAAGTGAAAGGAAGGGAGTCAAATTTTCCAATAACATATATGTGTGCTATAATATATTTGTAAGCCATATTTAAACAAATTTTCTTTTGACCTATTTTTTCCATACTTTAATTTTTGTTTAGAGCCGCGGCGACTTAGAGGATAGAGCATTTGCCTTCTAATCACGTGAACCGGGTTCGAACCCCACCGATAGCTGGTCGATTTGTATTTCACATCAGGATCGCACGGGCCACAAAGCGGACGTGATGTAGCCTCAGTGGTAGACGGATCATGGGACAGAGTCCCCTTGCCGTCAGGCTAACCGTGGGAGGTTTTCGTCGTTTTTCACTCCCTTTAACGCAAATGTGGGTTAGTTCCATTAAAAAGTTCTCCACGAGGGCACATTTCTCCCAATACTTGATCCAGTAGTTCCCTTGTCTCATGCATCGGGTTAAAAATTACAAGGCTACGGAGTTGAGCAATAGTAGTCGTAAACTCAAAGACTGGGTCGGCGGTTCAACGGCGGATATAAAATTTAAAAAATAAAATATTTAAAAGGGGGGAGGCTCTGAAATCGCTGTGCAATTGTGACGTGAGACGGGTTGAAAAAGGCATCGAACCCATTCATTTAAAGGATTCAATTTTCAAGTTCGTTACTACGCATTTCCGTGTTTTCTTCGCATTTATATGATTCAACTAACTGTCAGTTCATTAATTTTTTAAAATTTTTTAGTAAGAGGGAGAACTTTGATATTCATATTAAGTGTAAGGATGGGCGTCGAATTTTCCAAAAACATATACATATGCTATAATATATTTATAAATCATGTTTTAATTGATACCTTCGAAGACATCAACTAAGGGACAGTTTATTAATTTTTTGTTATTTTCTAGTAAGAGGGAGAGTTTTTATATCCATATCATAGTCCTATAAACACGATATATTGTTAAAAAAAATCTTTGCTGTCAAGGATATTATACTCTTCTAGAAGATAAGCTAGAATGATTTTTTTACCAGTTTTTGATAATTTTTTGCCTTGATGTGTATAAAATTTCACTCTAAGGCTATTAATTCTAAACGTTTATAACGGGTACCAAAAATGCTCTTTTTTCAGATATGTTTAATTAATACAGGAAGCATTATAGCAGAGTAATTTGTTTTTCTTTTATTTCTGAATTTTAGTGTTGTCCATTTTAGTGTTGTTGTACATTGTATCGTGAACAGAACATAAATTATCAATGTCCATTATAAGTCCTAATATCATTCTCTAGAATTTCTTTGAGAAGCATTCAACCTCTTAATAAGTACTTAATAATACTTTCCGACTGACGTTAATCATAACAAAAAAAGCTGTAAAACCCTTGAATTAAAATAACTTCTTAAAAATTTTACCTTACTTGAAAATTGAAAAGCCTAAAATTAAAAATTGGGATATTATACAGATAAGAGATTCGAATTTTAAATTTATTCTAAATTAAAACACATAAATAAAAAAAGTACTTGTAGTCATATTTACTAAAATGATGTATTTTTAATTCAGGCTTAAAAATAAAATATAAAAATTACCTCAATCAATCAGGAATTCGATACATGTATACAATGTACAAAATGACAAAAACATGAATATTTAAAAAATAATTTATGTAAAATTTAGGATTAAAAATAATTTTTATTGAATTTTGTTGCATTATTGGAACTTTTCCTAAGGAAGGGATGCTAGACATTAGTGTTCAGATGCCTTCCATTGAAAAGAACTATTTATAAATTCTTTTATATTACTCTTGACTTGTTTATAAGATTTTCATTGTTATTCTTCAATTGTTTTATCACACAGAACATTATTATTCTTGAATTGTTTCATTAGAGAACAGTCTCTTAAAAGGAAATCTACACATTGATGATTTAATGATATGCTTTCCGTTGAAAAGATACATCTATAAATTATATTTTACAATTATTGAATATTATTTTCATTGTTATTCTTGACTTCTTTCATTAAAGATTTTGATTATTATTTTTAAATTGTTTCATCAAGGAGTATAGATATTATTCTTGAATTCTTTCATTACAGAACTGTTCCTTGAAAAGAAACGCTAGACATCAATTGTTTAGTTATTATTCGGATATACCTTCCGTTGAAGAGACCCATTTATCAATGTTACTTTATTATTGTTGAATTATTTTATTAGATATTTTCATTGTCATTCCTTCCTGACTTGCTTCATCAAAGAATTTGATTATTATTCTTAAATTGTTTCATAAAAGAGTTTAGATATTGTTCTTGAATTCTTTCATTAGAGAAATGTTCCTTAAAAAGGAACGCTAGACATTGATGGTTTAAAGATATGCGTTTCATTGAAAAGACCCATCTACGAACGCTACTTCATTATTATTGAATTATTTAGAGAGTTTCGATATTATTTTTGAATTATTTCATTAGAGACTTTGATTATTAATCTTGAGCAGTTTAACTAGAGAGCTTCAAAGAATTATTCTTGACTGACATCATCAAAGAAAAACACGCAAGAGACGAAAAGCTCGTGTCTAATATTAGTCTTTATCACTCTTGATGGGTTTCATTAGAGATTTCAATCAATATTTTTGTTCAGAGAACCGATTTTTATTACAGTCCCTAAAAAAATGAAGCTAGACTTTAATAATTTATTGACATGCTTTCCGTTCAAAAGATTTGTTTATAAACGGCGCTTTATTATTCTGGAATTGTTTTATAAGAGACATTATTTCATCGTAAACAAGTTTTTTGGCATCTTTGGCTAGCACAAAATCAAAATGTGAGAAATTCTTCCAAGGTACGCAATAGCTATACACGAGTGATTTTAACCTCTTTTCTAATAAACTGATGTCCTCCGTGTCTGCTAAAGCATCGTTCATTCCCCAGAACAATGCTGTGGGTGTAACCACATTTGACAAATTATATTCTGGTGGGGTGTCCTAATTAAGAAAAAAAATTGTTTTAGAACTTAATACTTATTTAGTATTGCACATATTACGTTGAGTAAAAAGTTTTCCACCAAGAAAAAAAAAATAGTGCGTGGAGTCCCTCCGCGTGGAAGAAGTTAAACTTCGCAACCTGTGACGTTAATTGCGGAGGAATCAGCAGTCGTAGAAGGATCACTAGTTCTATTCAACGACTCTTTTTCCTGCTCCGCTCGCTTCCGTGCTCTGTAATCACGGTAATATTGTGCATTTTTCCCTCGTGGACCTCTTGAACCAGTGGAAGTGCTTGTGGTTGCCTCATCGTCTCGCCCTGGAAAATGTATTTGTATTAATAATGTATGTGAATGCGTCATAATGTAATTTCAGAAGAGAAAACCTAACAATCAATTGATATTCACAAGAGACGTACCTTGACATAACCTTAAATCCGTCGCATTGTCCGTGGGATTGTTTTCACTCATTTTTTACAATTGTTATCCACTAAATTTGAAAATAAAAAATACTACCCTATTAAATTATATGTGTATCAAAACAAACTAAAAAAATATTTATATAAAAAAAAATACTTTTATGACTTTTATTATTTTTATGCTAGTGAGAACCCAAACAATATGGAAATGAATGAGGAAAAAATTGGATCCTACCACGTGATTTCCCGGCCAATAAAAATGTATCGTTAAACGGTTAACGCAACCTTGTTGGAAGTCGCATAAGAAGTATAACTTCAAAAAGCAATCTTGTAAAATGATGTCTTGTCAATGAAATGCAAACGTCAAGTTCTAACCCAATAGTTTGTGCTGAATGATATGCTTTAACTGGTCACAATCAACCACAATAGGGTGACCAAAACGTGTTTCATCTTCGATATCGAAATCGCAGCACTTAATTTAAGAAACCAGAATTTTTGAGGTATCATAAGAAACCGTATTGAAACCTAAACATTTTCTGTGGCATTCAGTTGCACTGAGTTTATTTCAGAACTCATAGTACATAATCATTCTGATCTGTTGACGTGAAAGCTCGCTTTTGGTGCTCAAGCTATAGTTAAGTTTTGACAAATAAATTACATAATTATGTAGTTCCAGCTTCCAGCTTTAGATGGCAAAAACCAGTTTGGAGAAAAGTTAACTACCATGGTTAACTAATGTTTTCTGTTGGCGCGGAGGTATCTTCCCTCGGCAGAAAACTTTTTACTCAACTTGATATTTTATAGTTTGCTACAATCCTTTTTTTTTTAATTTAATAAATTTTTTTCCCTATATGTATTACCGTTTCTGAATTTATTTTTCATGAACAATTACATTAACTTGATTCCCTTATAAAGGATTGCCAAGTTACTACGCTTTTGGGGAAGATTTCTTTAAGTGTTTGAAAGTTAATGTTTTGATGTATGATTCTTTTGAAAGTTTGATTTAGAGTCCAGATTACTATATATAAATCATTCAAACGCTCATATAAAATGCAATTTTGTTCCGGCTACATCGTGGGGAGGCTCTTAAAATGTTGAAAAAATTAATCATACTTCTGAAAGGTTTAGTATTAATGGTCTTTATGAAACTGGAATTTTGTAAAAACGTTGTTAAACTTCTTTTCCCTTTTATTTCAGATTTTTTTTTATAACACTTCACCTGTTTTTAGTTATTTTTCATTATATTTGATTTCTTTATTAGCTTTAATTGTACTGATTTCCTTTTTACTACTTCAGACTTTTATAAACACCTCAGAATATTTTAATTTCTTTTCATTAACTCATTTGGTTAATTTGTTACTTTTAATTGTGCTGAACGCTTACCAAATATTTGAATGTTTTTCGTGTTTGTTTGTTTTTCAATTTAACTTTTTTTTTTTTTGGGTGGATTTGGTTTCTTTATTAAACTTGTTTATGAGGTTCTTTTTTTTTTACCTATTTTATTGTTTTCCGTATTTATCAATTTTCATTTTTCTTATGCGTATCATCATTTGTAAATTACTTTTATTTTTACTGATGATGTGACAGTGATTTCTTAATTAACTAAATTTGTTCTGATATTTCATTTACTAATTTTCATGTTTTACTTGTTTTAAGTTTTGATATTAACCTTACCTTTAAATAAATACTTTTTGTTAATTAATTTAACTTTTTCATCATTAATTTTAATTTTGTGACTATTTTTTGAATGTTATGTTTTCGTTAAGCTATTTTAGTCTTTTTTAATGTCTTTTTATTGACTAATTATATTGTTAATTTTTTTTAATTAACTTTGATTATTTTATTATAATGTTACTCACGTTTCACTAATTTCATTTTTTTATATATACCTTACTATACTGTTCTCACGCGCTAGAACTCGCACAACTCTTCCTCCAAATTTCTAGAAATATTTAGCATTGACATAGGCAAGACAACAACAGCAACATGTATGCCTTACGATTTTTTTAATTAACTTTCCTAAACTCATTTAGTTTCTTTATTAATTTTAATTGTACTGATTAAATTAATTTATGCTATTATTGTAACGTTTTAAGTGTTTAATGTATTTTAAATGTTATAATTGTTTTCTGGATTAAAATAAAGTTTTTATGCATTTACAATGCATTGTAATTGATAACTTTCGAACTACCATTAAACATTAGAGAAAGATTTACTATCTGGCTCTCACGAGAACTCCTCCAGGCACTAGACTCACGTGCTGGCGGTTGCTAAAATTACGATGATAATTCACAAGGGTTCCGTGGAAAGGTCACAAGAGTTTCAACTGTTAGGACTTATTTTATGATTTCTGAAACCTATAATTACAATTATATTTAATCAATGATTCATTTAATATTTAGATTATTATTAAGAAATTATTCGGTTAATTTATGTGAGGAAAAAAAGCATAACTTAAAAATGTATATAGTTATTCTCATAACAAAACATCGAATACATTATGAAAAAGATGCTCATTTAGGAAAAATCACATTAGTACTGTTCGATGAATTTTTTCATTCAAAATAAAATAAATGGATTCAACATTCTTCTGGTAATTATTCTCAACGTTTATAACAAAAAAATCGAAATCAATTTTAGAATAAACGACGCTCCAGCCCAATGAATTCAAATAAATGCCAGCAAGTGACGTCATTTTTGGTAAATAGTGTCCACAATCGACTCAGAAGCCAATTAACTACGTGACGTCACTTACAGGTATCCAAGTAAATCTGATTTAAATCACCTGGATAAGCATAGTCATTTCACTTCTTCTCAAGTTGTAAGTATCCAACAGCCTAACTTAAAACACAATTTTGAAATTATTATTGATAAAACTATTTCTTTCTTCAGGTTAACCGTCTTCAAAATAATTAGTAGTCCATTGAAAATAGTTAGTAGTACATTTTGCTTATACGTTCGCAATTCTTCTAATGAACTTTATTTATGAAGTTGGGGTCCCGCTAAAATAAAAAAGGTGATCAATTGTTGTTCCCAAGCCGAGAAAATTGAGAACCACGGATTTAGGATGAAAGTTATTCCATTTTTTTTAATCTCTCCCCTTCATTTGAAATGACTTTACTCTCCTTCCCATAGCAACAATCAACCTCAAACGTCCAGTCGGGTAAAGTTCTCGTGATAGTTGGTCTATAATGTCGAAAATCCATGTACCTGATTGTAATACTTCCAGTTTTCTTTTCCGTAATCAAACTTCCGAAATTTCTTTGATTTTACCATCTAATAAAACAAAATATGATACATTATTAGTCATTTAATTTCAATCACTTTTAAATCTAAATGTATCTATGTGTAAAAATATCCCACATTTAAAAGTGTTTATCAACTTGCGTTCGAAAATTTTGAGGATCGTTAAAAAAAAATTTGATATTTTATTTAATTTCAAAATAGCAGCATCAAACTAATTTATATCACGAAAGATTCGATATGTGTTTGTTTAGCAGGGAGATAGTTCTCTCAACATAAATTCAAAAATTCTTTATGTTTTGTTTCGCTTACTTCTTCAACTAAATTCTTACTCTATTCTTTTATCATTCTGCTTGAAATTTTGTGCATTTTTTCCAAAGTGGCATAAAATTAAAATGAAATAGTGATTTCATGTGGGATCATATAAAATTAAACTTTTGCACAGTTTTTTTAATAACTATGTATAAAATTATTTTATGTAATCACATTGGGGGTACGGATATGTATTTCAAGTAAAAATGTATATTTAGAATTGCAATTTTTTTAAACGAATAATTCAATGTGTTTCATGCATTGCGCCCTAGACAAAACGAGGGATTGCCCCCTAGACTAATTGCGAATTCAGTAAAAAATTATGTTTTCTGAATTGCTCCATCAGGAAAGCAGACTACAGTGACGTAAAATAGTTTAAGAATCATATTTTGGCTAATGTATTTTTTTTAAATAGATAAGTTTAAAGTAACTATGTTCAGTACTTTTTTTTATTTACGGTGTAAAAAAACATTAGATTTAAAATTTACTTTTGATGAAGTATTGAAAGATTAAACTGAAGAATTTAGAGAAAAAAAATGCATTTAAAACTATTGCAAGGTCAACTATTGAGAGGTCAACCAGCTCTGGCTCACAGCTCACTCAGTTTTTACTGGTTGTCTCAGGGTTAATAATTTTAGTATTTTATATATATATAATTTCTGTATTTTGTTTATATAAGGGTTAAAAAGTTTTGTATTTTATATATATATATATATATATATATAATTTTTGTATTTTATTTATATAAAGGTCTGTTGACCTTTTTTATTCATCCATTGTATTTGGCGTATGGGTCTATTGGCCTAGAGCGCTGTATAATTTCAAATTAAAACTATTGCAATCAAATTGATGTCGATCAATTTGATAGACTACTCTAATGCAAATGCTAATATCGCAGCTTTTATCTTATTTGATATTGCAAATTGACCGGTTTTGTTTTTCTTCAAAATTCAAAATTTCCCAAAATTCCGGGTTTAATTTTTAAAACTCAACATTTTTTTTCCCGTCTTTAAACTGTAGGTTTTTACATCAATAGGCCTGGCACAAATAAACACCTTATTTAACTATTCTTACTTGAGAAAAATGCACGACATTCTTTATAGAGGCACCGTTTGGGAAATGAGCAGCGTAAACTGGTGTTCTTGTCTGAAAAAATAATAATCAAATAAACTGCAAGTAAACATAGATAAATAATATTATATAAAAATAAGGAATCGCAACATAAAAGTGCCCATTTGAAATGTGAATATTTTCTAAAAGCACACTCAACTCCATTAGAGCTTGGTTTCAACAGGCCATAAAAAATTTAAAACGTGATTAAAAAAAATGAATCAATCATCTGCACATTTATATATTTGTAAGAACCACTACATAATGCTTTTTGTAGTAAAATTACCTGTGAGTAAATCATCCGATTTTCAATTAAAAGAGAAAGGATACTTTTAGTTATTATTAACGTATAATTACTATCGCAATTAATCCTATAAAAATTAGGCAAAACCAAAGTGGTAAGAAATAAGATATTTTTATAAATAAGTAGAGCATAGAAACCGTCTAGTATACTCATCGAAGAAAATTTTTCTTGGTGTTTGCAAGACTTATGTTTATAATAAATAAATCTCGGTTATATATAATAAATCTCTCTCTCTCTCTCTCTCTCTCGGTTATATATAGGAAAATGTCTCCCAATGCTTGATCCAGGAATTCCCTTGTCTTTTGATAGGGTTCAAAATTATAAGACTACAGAGTTGAACACAGGTAGTCATAAACTCGAAAATTGGAAAGGCTGTTTAACGACCGTAACAAAAATTATATCAAAGAATTAATTAATGTTATCAGCTTAAAAATTGGCATAATAAATAAATATTTTCTCTTTAAACTAATAAAAGAAAGTACCTGATTATATTGCTCACTATCTTTACCAAAAACCATGTACATGATATTTTCGCAAATGAATGCAGACTTCGAGGCGCAGAGGTTCCGGGTGATGAACTGCTGGGCTGGATTGTTTGACATGAATTCATACACCCCAAATGTATTCATGATACTCTTTAAACGAAAAAATATATGCTAATGTTAGTGACTCTGAAAACTACAGCGATATCAAAATAAAAAAAAAATTCAGATAGAGATTACATTTACTTCGATATACTCAAAATAAGGGACGAGGTAACTAACTATAGACTTCACGTGGCTAACTTCTACTTCTGGTGCTAGTGCCACAAACAACTTTATCTGGAAATAAGGAAAAAGAATATCGTGAGCATTATTTTTTATGATGCATTTCAATAATCATCGATAACGATAATATCGCGAACATTATTGACAACCCAAGACCAAAATATAAACAAGATGGCGTTTTACTGTTACATCTATTAGGGTTAGTTTATCATCACTCTGAATCAATTTTCCGATCAGATTTAATTGGGTACCTAAAAGTGACGTCATGCTTTAGCTTCAAATCTGATTGGCTGCCGAATCGTTGCAAAAAAGATGCCGCGACCAGGTCCAATCAGGTTCCAATCAGGAGCCAATCAAGTTGCGTGACGGTGGTGATAGGATATAGGATACACTTAAATATATTAAAATCTCTGAATGGAAAAATATTTCTGTTGTGGAAGCTGCAGTCAATTGTTATTGAGACTTTATTTTTACCTTTTCATTGTAAAGAGGTCTTTCAGACAGAAGAGCAAAAGCTATGGTGGTCCCCTGAGAGTGGCCAATATATACCAGATTGTCTTCTTTTGTTGTATTGAGAATATAGTCAATCATAGCTGGCAAATCATATTCGGCCATCTGATCAAAGCTAAAAGAAAACAATCAGCAATTAAATATAGTAGGTAATTCAGGAGAACAGTTTTAAGCTTCTGAATGAGGTAGGACACACTATTAGGATTAAGGGGTCTTTTACCTCTGATGTAAAATGAAAAACATTTTTCGAACACAAAATCTCAAAACTTTCTGCACATATTGATAATTCATTAATATAATCACGAATATTCTTTTCATTTTATAATAACTCTATACAGATTCATACCACAGGGATAGGTTTGGTAAAATACCCCCCAAAAGCTGAAAATAGACATCCAAAAATATGCACACAAAAAACTTTTAAAATAATTGAAAAAATATCTGAAACTTCAGTAAGAAAAACTGTTATTGGAGTTACAGAGTGTTACCTTAGTTTTAATTAAGATATCGATGCGAAAGATTTTATTTACTTATTTAAATTGTGTGAATATGAATCTCAACGTGTGATATTTAAACCATGCGAATACGAATCTCGACATTTTAGAATCGCGTGAATGCGAATCTCGGTTTTTGATTTTGAATTCGGGTAAATACGAATCTTGAAGTTTGATTTTAAAATCGCGTAAATACAAATTCTGATGTATAATTTTTTAGTCACTTGAACACGAATCATAACAGTGGCTTTTAAATCACTTGAATACGAAACGCGATATTTGATATAAAATCGTAAAAATACGAAACGCGATGTGCGATCTTAAATCGAGTAAATAAGAATAGCGATGTGTGATTTAAAATCAATGTGAATATAATTTTAAATTGAGTTTGCATTGGTAGAAAAAAGAGTAAAAATGATTTTTTCCCTCGGGAATTCGAAAAAAACAAACTTTCTTTAAAGCGGCATATTTTTTTTTCTTTTTTTTTTTTAGTATTAGTAAGACATTTTGAGCGATGGTGACAAATTTTTCAGCGAACGGCGTTCCCGCTTTCGTGTACATGATGACGTTTTTAATATCAATCTTGATCTCTTGACCTGTTTTACAGCCGCTTACTGCAGCTCATTTAGGTTATATTTTCAAACAGATTATATTTTTTTCCATAAAATCTGCTATATTNCAGAAAACTTTTTACTCAACTTGATATTTTATAGTTTGCTACAATCCTTTTTTTTTTAATTTAATAAATTTTTTTCCCTATATGTATTACCGTTTCTGAATTTATTTTTCATGAACAATTACATTAACTTGATTCCCTTATAAAGGATTGCCAAGTTACTACGCTTTTGGGGAAGATTTCTTTAAGTGTTTGAAAGTTAATGTTTTGATGTATGATTCTTTTGAAAGTTTGATTTAGAGTCCAGATTACTATATATAAATCATTCAAACGCTCATATAAAATGCAATTTTGTTCCGGCTACATCGTGGGGAGGCTCTTAAAATGTTGAAAAAATTAATCATACTTCTGAAAGGTTTAGTATTAATGGTCTTTATGAAACTGGAATTTTGTAAAAACGTTGTTAAACTTCTTTTCCCTTTTATTTCAGATTTTTTTTTATAACACTTCACCTGTTTTTAGTTATTTTTCATTATATTTGATTTCTTTATTAGCTTTAATTGTACTGATTTCCTTTTTACTACTTCAGACTTTTATAAACACCTCAGAATATTTTAATTTCTTTTCATTAACTCATTTGGTTAATTTGTTACTTTTAATTGTGCTGAACGCTTACCAAATATTTGAATGTTTTTCGTGTTTGTTTGTTTTTCAATTTAACTTTTTTTTATTTTGGGTGGATTTGGTTTCTTTATTAAACTTGTTTATGAGGTTCTTTTTTTTTTACCTATTTTATTGTTTTCCGTATTTATCAATTTTCATTTTTCTTATGCGTATCATCATTTGTAAATTACTTTTATTTTTACTGATGATGTGACAGTGATTTCTTAATTAACTAAATTTGTTCTGATATTTCATTTACTAATTTTCATGTTTTACTTGTTTTAAGTTTTGATATTAACCTTACCTTTAAATAAATACTTTTTGTTAATTAATTTAACTTTTTCATCATTAATTTTAATTTTGTGACTATTTTTTGAATGTTATGTTTTCGTTAAGCTATTTTAGTCTTTTTTAATGTCTTTTTATTGACTAATTATATTGTTAATTTTTTTTAATTAACTTTGATTATTTTATTATAATGTTACTCACGTTTCACTAATTTCATTTTTTTATATATACCTTACTATACTGTTCTCACGCGCTAGAACTCGCACAACTCTTCCTCCAAATTTCTAGAAATATTTAGCATTGACATAGGCAAGACAACAACAGCAACATGTATGCCTTACGATTTTTTTAATTAACTTTCCTAAACTCATTTAGTTTCTTTATTAATTTTAATTGTACTGATTAAATTAATTTATGCTATTATTGTAACGTTTTAAGTGTTTAATGTATTTTAAATGTTATAATTGTTTTCTGGATTAAAATAAAGTTTTTATGCATTTACAATGCATTGTAATTGATAACTTTCGAACTACCATTAAACATTAGAGAAAGATTTACTATCTGGCTCTCACGAGAACTCCTCCAGGCACTAGACTCACGTGCTGGCGGTTGCTAAAGTTACGATGATAATTCACAAGGGTTCCGTGGAAAGGTCACAAGGGTTTCAACTGTTAGGACTTATTTTATGATTTCTGAAACCTATAATTACAATTATATTTAATCAATAATTCATTTAATATTTAGATTATTAAAAAATTATTCGGTCAATTTATGTGAGGGAAAAAAAGCATAATTTAAAAATGTATATAGTTATTCGCATAACAAAACACTGAATAAATTATGAAAAAGATGCTCATTTATAAAAAAATCACATTAGTATTGTCCTATGAACTTTTTCATTCAAAATAAAATAAGTCGATTCAACAGTAAAGAAATATGTCTTCTGGTAAACATTCTCAACGTTTATAACAATTATTTTTCATGTTTACCATAAAACAGTAATTCAGATTGTTTTATTCATTTTCAACTAATGCAAAAAAACAAAAACAAGAAAATAATAAATTCAATTCTAGAATCGATGCCGCTCCAGCCCAATGAATTCAAATGGATGCCGGCAAATGACGTCATTCTCAGTAAATAGTGTCCTAAGTCGATTCAGAAGCTAATTAATCACGTGATGTCACTTACAGGTATCCAAGTAAATCTGATTTAAATCACCTGGTTAAGCATAATCATCTCACTTCTTCTCGAGTTGCAAGTATCCAACTGTCTAACGCAAAACATAATTTTGAAATTATTATTGATAAAACTATTTCTTTCTTCAGATTAAACGTTTTCAAAATAATTAGTGGTCCATTGAAAATAGTTAGTAGTAGATTTTGTTTATACGTTCAGAATTTTTCTAATGAACTTTATTTATGAAGTTGGGGTTCCGCTCAAAAAAAAAAGGGTGATCAATTAGGGTTCCCTAGCCGAGAAAATTGAGAACCACGAGTTTAGGTCGGAAGGGATTCCATTTTTTTTTAAATCTCTCCCCTCCATTTGAAATTACTATACTCTCATTTCCATAGCAACAGGCAACCTCAAGCGTCCAGTCGGGAAAAGTTCTCGTGATGGCTGGTCTATACTCTCTAAAAATCATATACCTGATTGTAATACTTCCAGTTTTCTTTTCCGTAATCAAATTTCCGAAATTTCTTTGATTTTACCATCTGATAAAACAAAATATGAAACATTATTAGTCATTTAATTTCAATCAGTTTTAAATCTAAATGTATCAACGTGTAAAAATATCCCACATTATCAACTTGCGTTCGAAAATTTTGAGGATCGTTAAAAAAAATTTAATAATTTATTTAATTTCAAAATAGCAGCATCAAACTAATTTATATCACGAAAGATTCGATATGTATTTGTATAGCAAGGAGATAGTTCTCTCAACATAAATTCAAAAATTCTTTACGTGTTCTTTCTCTTACTTCTTCAGCTAAATTCTTACTCTATTATTTTATCATTCAGCTTGAAATTTAGTGCATTTCTTCCAAAGTGGCATAAAATTCAAAGGAAATAGGGGTTTCATGTGGGATAATATAAAATTAAACTTTTGTTCAGTTTTTTTAATGACTATGTGGGAAATTAATTTATGCAATCACATTGGGGGTACGGATATGTATTTCAAGAAAAAATGTATATTTAGAATTACAATTTTTTTAGCGAATAATTCAAATGTATTTCATCCATTGCACGCAAGACAAAACGAGAGATTGCTCCCTAGACTAATTGCCAATTTAGTAAGAAATTATGTTTGCTGAATAGCTCCATCAGGAAAACAGACTGCAGTGATGTGAAATAGTTTAAGAATCATATTTTGGCTACTGTATTTTTTTTAATAAATAATTTTAAAGTAACTATGTTCAGTACTTTTTTTTATTTATGGAGTAAAAAATATTGGATTTAAAATTTATTTTCAATGAAGTATTGGAAGATTAATATGAAGAATTTAGAGAAAAAAATGCATTTAGAACCATTGTAATCAAATTGATGTAGATCACTTTTATAGACTACTTTAATGCAAATGCTAATATTGCAGCTTCTATCTTATTTGACCGGTTTTATTTTTTGTCAAAAATCAAAAATTCCCATAATTCTGGGTTTAATTCTTAAAACTCAACGGTTTTCTACCCGTCTTTAAAAAACTGTAGGTTTTTACATCAATAGGCCTGGCACAAACATACACATTATTCAACTATTCTTACTTGAGAAAAATGCACGATATTCTTCATAGAAGCACCGTTTGGAAAATGAGAAGCGTAAACTGGTGTTCTAGTCTGAAAAAATAATAATCAAATAAACTGTAAGTATAACATATTATAACATACATACAAGTATAACATACATAACATATATGTAAGTAAACATAATTAAATAATATTGTATAAAAACAAGGAATCACAACATAAAAGTGCCAATTGGAAATGTGAATAAATTTATAAAAGCACGAACAACCCCAATAGAGCTTGGTTTTAACGGACCATAAAAAATTTAAAACGTATTAAAAAAATGAATCAATCATCTATTCATCCGTTCTTTATGGTTCTGGTTCGTCGTGGTTTAGAAAAAGTTTTTTTTTTCTTGATGAAATACTAAGTCACAATCTCCATTTTTTATTTCACTCTGACTGATATATATATATATATATATATATGTAATAACAGGGCTCCAACCCTGTTATTAGTGTTGTATTTAGCTTGAAATAATTGCAGTCATAAGCCATCCTACGTTCTAAACAGGTTTATTAAA